TTTGTTTGTACTGACTTCGCTAGTGCTTTTTATGTAGTCTATTGTAAAACTAGGCAAATGTCTAGATGAGGTGATGTACCCCCCTGGAAGACCTCTGCTCTGCGTACCCATTGGGGTACCTTTACCCTTGGTTGAGAACCATTGGTCTATTGTGTTTTGTAGTTTAGAATTACAGGGATTTTCCCCAAAAAGGAGTGATTATCCTCTTTGGCTAGAGAACACAGAACTTCAGTGGGCCAGCAGTCAGAGAAGATCATTTTTGGCTAGAGAGAATTCTGTTTTTACTGCATTGTGATCGCTACTCTCCAATGCTATATGAGATCACAGATCGTATCTACCACAATAAATCAAGAATTATAGTTTTAGAATTTCTTTCCTATGGGTATATTGTAATGAAAACATGTTTGCAATTTAGATTAAATAACTGTTTATTATTCCTTTGAGCATTTTTCAAAATTTATTATAAACAATGAAAATTGTTTCCTTTCCTACTTAAGGGGCTTAATTCAACAGAAAGTGCATCTAGATGCCAGACAGATTTTTTCCTAAAATGGCCCCTAAATAAACTTTTCTAAGAAGAATAATATAAAACAGAAAGATCAAGAAGATATAGGCCCATTTGTAAAGTTCAGTAATAAACCTGTTTCTCTTTTACCAATCTAAATACATTTAACAAAATACAAATATTGCATCAAACATCTTTTTTTATAATAATGTCGTTTCAATGCAGTACAACCTTTTTAAATCCTTCCAGCTGTTAAAAAGCCAAACAATGTTATTTTCTTCCTTTTCCTGACAAGCTCTGACTGGCCTCTACAGGATCTGCTAGTCTACATGAAAGCAAGTTCACTCTCAATCCGGTTCTCAAACTGGGTGACAAAACCAACTGTAAAAATAAAGAATTGTATTTTTTCTGCAAAACATTTCAAAACTTCTTGTTTTAAAAGTTATATACAATATCTCACACCTAAATGAAGCATATTGCTTATATGCTTATGAATATCAAAGATAAATGCTTCCATTTTATGGGAATCAGAGACTGTGTGGGATAAGGAGAGGTACGTGTTATAAAGAGTTAAGTTTAATTAATGTTAAATAAAAGTTTGAAGCCAGGTTACAGTAGCTCCATAACAGGCCATTTTATAAAAAAAAAAGGGGGGGGGAGTACCATACAGTGCACAGTAAAGTGTATGATTTAAAAAAAATCAGGAATGTTGCATCAAAGCAGCAAATGTTTTAACAATTCACTTCTCCAGCTGTGTGGGTCTGTATTATTGCCATTCCCAAGACAGCTAGAGACTCTAGATACTATCATATTCCCTTCCCCAAAGGCAAAGCCATGTGTTTTTTTTTTTAAGTTTTAATTTGCATAATTAAATGCGAAAGGTAATATTTACACAATCCTAGACACAGTACGATATAATCAAACATGTAACTTGGTCCCTGATCCTACAAACATACACATGCTTAAGTTTATGCACATGAGTAGTCCTAATTAAGTCAATGGTACTAATATGTTTACAGTTAAGCACATGCACAACTCTTAAGAAGACCAGGGCCCTAGTCAGCAGTGGCCAGATCCTGCAGGCCTCACGCCTGAGTAAGGCCTACAGAAATAGCCATCCTGCTGTCAAAACCCAATAATGAGGACATTTATTTTCTTGTATTATACAACAATTATATGCATATAAATTCATACACCGTTTAACTGTCAACAAGTACACTAGGTGACTATCCTTTATTTTAATATAAAAAAATCCTTTCCCTAACTGACACTAACAAATGGTTTACTTGTTTAGTGATAACACTACATACTTACTTTAAAATAAATTTTGCTTCGTTCCAGAAGAAGGTACCATTTTAATGCTGTCTTCTGCTCTTCCGTCAGAGTGAGGAATTCATGGACCTGTTGAAATGATCAAACAACATACTTATTTCTGAAACACATAAAAATATAGTACATGTGAGTGAAAATCACTTTCAGAAGATATTAGAATGACCACAAACCTAATGCCCTCAAAGGAAAATGTAAAACTCATTGTTCCAACAATCATACCTCACCAAAAAAAAAAAATTAGCAAACAGAAACGCTTCCCACCGACTGGCAGATGGAAAGAGAGAGAAGCAGTTCACTTTAATAAACTTGTAAAGCTATCAAATATCACAGAGATGCACGTTTTATAATTACATAGATATATTGAGTAGAATAAACTGCTTAATGTTCAAGGAGGCAGATTAATAGAAATATCAATTATATCTCCAGGAAAGTGTAATTTTTAAAATGAAAAAATAGGGATCTTCTGTTGAGTGTCTTTTAATCAAAGTAAGGTTTTAAGAGGATCGGCACCGTTATAAATTCTTAAATAAATGTAAACATGATTCCTTCTTTCTAGGCATTTGTTAGTTCCTATTCTTTGACAGGTGCAGTAGCTATACAGTAGAATCTCAGAGTTACGAACCAGAGGTTAAAACTGACCAGTCAACCACACCCATCATTTGGAATCAGAAGTACATGATCAGGCAGCATCAGAGAATATATATATATATATATAAGCAAATACAGTAGAGCACTGTGTTAAATGTAAACTACTAAAAATAAAGGAAAAGCAGCATTTTTCTTCTGCATAGTAAAGTTTCAAAGCTGTTTAAGTCAATGTTCAGTTGTAAACTTTTGAAAGAACAACCATAACTTTTTGTTCAGTTACAAACATTTCAGAGTTACGAACAACCTCGTTTCCTGAGGTGTTCGTAACGTTGAGGTTCTACTATGTAAGAAGTACAAACATAATATAGCAATACTAGTAATTTTTGGCTTGCTTCACACAGCTTGAACTTCACACTCTTAGACAGATCAGATCAAGCAGGGGAAACTGATTTCTATTATTTACCGTGCAACTTAATGTTTCCTCAGCTACAACATCTGAGAGGTTACATGAACGTAGAGTGCCTGTGTGATCTGTAAGATCAACTAGTAAATCAAAACTGGTAAAGACAGACTTAGCATCTGAAGTGTTGTCATTGCAGAAAGTGCATGTGTTTGACATTTCATTGACCACATAGTGGCACCCTGAACTGCAAGGAACAGGAAAAGACAAAGTATTAATTACAACAGGTATATGGTTATTTATTGTCAATTTGAAATTGTTCCCTAGACCACCTGACCTTCCTCCAAGCCCACCCCTCCAATGGACTCTTCCTTCCAGCCAGATTCCTTCATCTTTTACACTCATATAGAGACAAACTGGCCCTTACTCTCCTCTCTCCCTCCAAAGGCCAGAGAGGGCAGGCCTTATCTCTAATCATCTCTGGCAAACTACTATATCTGAAACCTTCCATTCAGGGCCGGCTCCAAGTTTTTTGCCACCCCAAGCAAAAAAAATTTCCTGCGCCCCCCCAGCCCCGCCCCAACCTTCCCCACTCCATTCCAACCCCTTCCCCAAATCCCCGGCTCCACCTCCTCCCCCAGGCACACCGCATTTCCCCTCCTACACCTCCCTCCCAGGCAAGCCTGGGAGGGAGGGGGGGAGAAGCGGAGTGGCAGCACGCTCGGGGGAGGAGGCGGAGATGAGCTGGGGGGGGAGTGATTCCTCTGCCCCCCCCAGGGTTACTTCCTGCGGCCCTCCCCGCACCCCCCCACTGCCGCAACTCACCTCCGCTCAGGGCCGGCTCCTGGCTTTTGCATCCCAAGCAAAAAAAAAAAAAAGGAAGCCGGAGTGCAGAGTGCTGCCCCTTGGAAAGTGCTGCTCCAAGCACATGCTTGGAGCGCTAGTGCCTACGAGCCAGGTCCTGCCTCCATTCTAACAAGACCAGATCTCCCTACTCCCCCTCCCCCCTCATGCAGAGAAGTTTCATTTTACTTTCCTGGAACTAGGCTAAACATTGTTTGATCTCAGTTGTGTTGGGGTAAAGGAGAGGAGGGTAAATATTTTTTATATAAATTTAAAATATAAACAGCTGCTTACCACCTGTTTCGTATAATTTTAGATGTATCAGTATCAATGTTCAATGTAGAAATATAAGCATAAATAATGCCATAGACTGGTTCAGGTTTTCCCTCATTCTGCAAAGCTTTTACCTTTAACTGCTCCACTGTATAAATGTCAACTATAGTCTGCACTAAAGTTGAAAGGAAAATGTTAAATATGTCCAAGAAAACACCACTAAATAAAAAAAAAGGACAAAGTTCAAAAAGGAATATTGGGTCTGATCTAAAGCCCATTTGAAATCAACAAAAAGACTCCCATTGACCTTAATGGGTTTTGGATCAAGCTCATAATTAATATAAAAAAGTGAGACATTCAATAAAGAAAATACCGAAGAAGTAAGAGCTCCAACCCAGAGAAGATAAGTTTTACTCCAAAACATTTTCAAATAAAATATTTGTCCTATTTATTGTGTGCTTCCTTTTCTAAATATATTCATATATAGGTATTTTATATATAATAGTTTGCCCTGTCTTTTTCTTATTTATTCAAATGTATTCAGTTTAGGTCTCTTTCCCCAAGGCCAGTGCATTTCCAAGAATAGTACATCAAGCTGTTTGCAAGCAAGCATAGCCATCCACATTTGAGGTACACAACATTGCCAGGCAATTTGTAAAACAGCTCGATAATGGTCAGGTCCTGAAATTCTTAAACAGGTGAAATTTTCCATTGAAGTCAGTGAGTTTTACCTCTATAAAAACAGCTGCAGGAACAGGCCCGAAAAGCAAATGACAGTACTACACAACCGAGTCACATTAAATCAAAGGAATATCTGGAGGAATGCTTACAATTTATGGATTCTCTTAACTGATCCTCAGTTATATCATCCAAAGCTCCCGTTGCTGCACTCTCTTTTATGAAGTTGAAAAGAATATTCGCTTCTGGTGTGTCTTGAAAATATAAAATAAAAATTAACTATGAATAAATGTCCCCTGCAAAAAATGACAAGTAAAATGTCTGAATTCTGAAATTCTTGCTATTTTTATTCTGGTAGCAGCAAGGCCACATCAGTCTGCAGTGAGATGCTTCTCTCTTTCATTCTCCAACCATTAATACATATATGGGATGCACGAAGGAAGTGTAGATGGAAGTGCAGCAGGGAAACCAGAAATTATTGTTCACTCGGCACCTGACTGCCCCTTCCTGCAAGAGGGGAAAAATACTCTAAAAATATGAGCAAAATGCTATAGTAGCAATGCCATACCATCTCAGTAACACAAGACAAAGGCCTAGGAGGAGTGGGAGGGCCACTTAGGCCAGGGAGTCAAAGTAAAACAGGCCCAACCCTTCCACACAGATCTGCAAAGCAGAGATTCCCCTGTGCACCATCCACGCACCGCACTTTTCCCTGGCATCAGGACCAGCTCCAAGGTTGTACTGCCATTCTCTCTCCTGCCATGGCTACACCTCTTTATGGAGTTCTTGTCACAGTGAGGGAGCTAAACATCTATATATGCGCCAAATGTCCAGAGACTGTGGGGCACATTCAATAGGAAGTAAACTGTGTTTAGCAGCTCTTGTCTGAGTTTGTCCTCTCTCCACTCCCCAAAATCTAGAGTCCCCAACATATGATGTTCACACAAGGGTCTTCCATGGACTCGAGTGAAGCGACTGGGAGCCCTGCTGCTGATCTGACTTTCTCCTGCACAGACACCGACTCAGCTCAGATCTTCACACGTTCACTCCTTCCACCCCACCCACACAATGGAATGAGAACATCTGGCCCTCAGAAACGATGCAACTGTTAATTTTACAAAACAAGTGCAATGCTATTTACAGGAGAGACAAAGCCTTAGAGAATGCTTCCAGCTGGTGAAGATGACTCACTGTGTAGGCAGCTAGTGTTAGATCAGGCCATTCTTTTCTTAGTTAAAATTAAATTTTCATATGTCTCTGCAAACAGACAAATTATGAATATGCTGGGCCAAATTCTGCACTCAAATGCTCACATTCATTGCTCACTGAAATCAGAAGATGCACGTGAGAATCTGAGGGCTGAATTTGACCCAAGAATTCTACCTATTAACCTACAAGTTATTTTTACTGGGTTTGCATTTTGTACCTAATAGAGAAAGAAAAAAATATTCATGTTACAATGCTTAATAGGAGACTCAGCTAAGTTTTAACTACTGATTGGACAGTTTGCTAAATATTACAATGCTAGGTGTTATAGAAAAACCATTAATAGGTGAGATAGACAGAAATTAGCTATTGTATGTGGTGACATTTTTCTTTAGCTAAAGCTTCAAAATGTCTTTTAATTTCTAATGCAAGCTAAATTTGAACCAAAAAGTTAACACTTTCACTTGAATTATTTATCTATTAAGCCTACAATATGTGGGCTTTAACAATTTCTTACCTGGATTAGTTGTAAAAATGGTTTTTGATATAACAGTCGCAGTCATGCAGTTTCTAAATTTGTCAAAATTTATTCTCAGCTCTGATGCAAATATTACTGGACACAAAAACATAATTCGTTGTTATTTTAAATAAGTATCACACTAAAGATAAAAAACAGCAGAAATCTTTCACAACAACATAGAAAAGGGATACCTGTTTCTCGTGGCATCCAACTCTGCACAAGCTGGATAGATTCATTATCCCAACTAAATTAAAAAAAAAACTGTTTATTTAATAGTGAAAGCATTGGGAACATGGGTGACAAAATATGAAAAATAGTAGGGATTAGCATTTATGCCATTAAGGAGCATTTATTCCCCTCATTCCTCCCCAAAATATTAAACAAAGATCTAATTATAGGTGAAAATGGTCAGAATGAGCCCAGTCCAGTCTTTAATTGTGCATGAACACGTCTGTGTGCATACCATTATTTGTATATGCAAACTACTGGGTTTATATAACCTGTATTTGTATGCTATGTGCACAAGCACAAATGCTTTTGGGTGTACAGATTATCTCACCTGTACACCCAAATGGTTATGCAAACACAACTACAGGCATATTTTGAAAATATAGCCCATCAAGTAACTACAAAACTGTCCTTAGTTATTTCTAAGTGTTTGTTTTCATTTTAAACCCATTTTACCCTAACTCCACTTCCCCTTATTAATTCTGCTTTAGTCTTTTATCATCTTTTATATTTCCTTTTTAACTGTTTGGTTTGTGGAGGAAATGCACTGCACCTACAGCTATTTTAAAATGGCAAGTGCTACATAAATGCATATCTAATAGTATGTTTACTTTATATTTGCTAGGAGATTTAATTATAAAACTGTTTACCTGTGAATGTGCTGATAGGCATGTATAAGTACATTCATGCAAAGGTAGACCTATGTTTGGGAGCAAACAATACACCTCTTTGCATAAATAAAATGTCTATTGGTCTGATTGGCAACAGTTTCTTTATTATTCCATACCATTGATGACCTTTCATCATTTATTTGTAGCTCAGCTTCACTCTGACACTCTTGAGCTGTAGGTTTGTCAATAACTCATAGAAATAGAGAACATATCCAAGGTCACTATCAGATATCCTTTATATGTAATATTCTTTAATGGATACTGCTGCCATTTAATAAATATTGCTGCCTCATCACAGTGGCCACCCAATTAATACTGTATTTCAATTAACTAACTACAAGATTATGACAATATTTACTACATTCAATTTATTCTCTCTTTATCTACCCTTGCTTTAATTGGTGTATTTGAATAATGATTTAGTACATAATTTACCAAATCATTGCAAAGGACGACTCTGTTTCATCACACAGCTTTACTTCACACCTCTGACCTTTCCTTTTGTCTGAAGTGGTAAAGTACTTTGGCTCCCCAACCTTGAAAAGTAAGAAAAATATTACTATTCACCTAAAATATATAGAAGAATTAAAAAGAATCAAGCCAGAAAGGAAGAGTCAAAATGATTAAAATATATAAAAAATGACAATAAGCAAGAATACAGAAGGAGTTTGCATCCCTGACCATCTTAGCTAAGAGCCACTGATGGCCTGTCCTCCATGAACTTATCTAATTCTTTTTTGAACCCAGTTATAGTTTTGCCTTCGCAACATCCCCGGTGACAAGTTTCACAGGTTGACTGTGTGTTCTGTGAAGAAGCAGAGTTTGACAGTGTTGTCTTTAACCCCACAGAGAAAGGGCCAAACTTGTGTATTTCATAAAAACTGAATGAGTTATATATGTGAAGGTATCCACAGACACTCTGGTCTACTTTGAAAAAATGTTGATTTCCAGATATGTATATCGTCTATGCATGTGCTGAGATGATCCCAAAACAGTGTGTGATTTGGAAGGTTTCCATTCTGATAAATCTCCACTGAAATCACTTATTCAAAACCTATTTACTGAAAGTACCAGGATTTGGCCTAGCGTGTACACTTGAATGTATTTCAGAATAGCAGGATTGATGTTCATAGACAGACCATCAGTACAGTAGTTGCAATAAATTCCTGAACATATCTGGGGCTCTTTTGTGATCTCAAATATGCAGGTGTACCTTGTGTTCTCAAACCTCTTGATATTATATTTGCAAAGCAGATCTTTTAAGCTACAGTATGTGTTGGTGTGTGCCTGCAATTAGAGCTTTACACATCCCAAAGAAGTCCTAGCATCCCAAAACTTAAATATTACATTTATTAACTAATTTTATAATCTAATTTTTACTTTATAAAAGTGGACTTGTATGTATGATATGAACATTGAAATAAGTTATCCCCTTGCATTTTTGTATCAGATATATACACATCAATCCTTATGTTCCATTTTCTTATGAATATTACAAAATAATTAATGTCACTTGTTACCCTTACTTTGTATTAACTCAATCCATATGAGTGCAGACCAAGACAAAAGAAAATCATTGCTTCAGGCAGCCATGACCCTGTAAATCTAGATCTACACTGAAATCAATCAGGGCTGCAACAGAAAAAAAAACACTTCATTTTGTTGTAGCACTTCTAACTTACCGACTTCACTGCTGCAAGCACATTAATGATTCTTCCATCAAGGCTTTGCCCATTTGCAACAATGTCACCCAGAGAATAGTAATCCTGAGGATCCTTTACAGGTAGATGCAACAGGGAAAGCAGCTTGGTGTCCACTTCATAGTGGCAACAAATTTTGACCGCTGAATGAGTCTCACTGAGCAATAATTTGTAGCAGCTAAATTGAATACATAAAAAACGTATTTTACACATCACTACTACACTATCCAGTAAAAAGTTGCATCAATTCATAGCGAACAATGTCAGTTGATGTTTTTCTATAGGATTATTATTGAGGATGATAAAAAGTTAGGAAATGCAAGTTGTTATATCTTGATAACAACATGTCAGTTTTTCATCCTAAGGAAAAACGACATGATTATGTTACACTTCATAGATATTTACTACCAAGAAGTCAACATGCATTATTAACAATGTAAAACATAAATCCATCACCCTTTCAGCACTTCACAAGTAGTTTTTATTTTGTGATATATACTCCATGTAATGAAACATTTAAGAAGTGCTTTACAATGTGTTAAATTACATACTATTAGGGTTGCAACTCAGTAACAATGTCTATAGTCTATAGTACTTAGATTGTAAACTTTTTGGGACAAATACCAGTAATACTACTACTACTAAACACACACACACACACACACACACACACCATTAGCCAGGATAAAGGAGTTCCCTCTCCACAGATTCAAATGCCTGAAGAATATCTGAGAAAAGGAAAAGGTCCTTGCTTTTCCTTCTCAAACAAATAACCCTCAATCGATATCCCATGCTGGAATTTGGGTAGATAAGGTTTGACTCAGTTGTTCAACATCTGTGACAAACTCCGCTCTGAGTTAGGACTTACAGGGCTAGTTAATCTCATTGTGCCATCTCAAATTTTCACATCACCTTTCACAAAGTTAACTGAAACCAAAATAATGGTGATACCATGTAAACTATTTTTAAAAATAATGCTATAGTGTACTAAACTGCCTTCCAGCTAAAGACATGCAAATAGCTTTTGACAGGATTAAACATCTTTCCATAAAATTATTACGTGTTTAATTAAACACAATGGGGCACAGTCATCCTTGGAATAAATTCAATTAACGTCAACATAAGTTACTGCAGACATAATGTAAGTCATGCTTAGCTACTGAGGATCTTTACTATATTACTACAAAAGCCAAAGGTCCACATCATGACTAAATACATTTTCCTTGTAAGACTGTTTGGCAGAATATAGAACTATATATTGTTCAGGACCCACAAGTGAATGACGACAGGCACATGGATACATTTTAAACAGCAGGCCACAACTTTATTAAAATGTAATGTCACTGTCTGCCCCGTTTCCCCATACCAGGCCTCTGAAGTGGGTCCAGTGTGGGTTTTATAGGGCAACTACCATATAGCCCACAACTCTCAGGGTATACTTTTCACTCCCTATCCCAAGGATTTAACTTGCTCTTCTGAATCCTCTCACCTTTCCCCCTGCAAAGAGGATAGAGGGTCCCAAAGAGGGACCCCATTCTGCAAGGACATCAGTCTTTTTTTCACAGACCTAGGATCCACCAGCAAAATCCTACATCTCTGACATTCTGGTTGCTGGCCCTTTGGCCTTTTATCCACACGGGACACTGGCCATAAGTTGTGATGACTAACATTCATAAAGTTCCTCACATGAAATTCCTAAATTCTACACCTATTTAACATAATTGTGTCTCCTGGATGATAGGAGGAAGGGGGAGGGGGAACTACTAGGCCACAGCCAATGTGTCCCTGTGGGAAAAAATTCCTTCCTGATCACTTAAACAGGTGATCAGTTAGACCCAGAGCAACCTAAAAACATAATTCCCATATAACATAACAGGGAGAGGGGGTGGGTTCAGCTAAAAATAGACAAGAGGCTTGAAAACCCTAGGCCATGGTTTAAATAAATGACTGGGGGAAGCAATAGCCACTCTCTCTATCTGGCCAATGGGCAGCAGAGCACTCAGTACCCCAGTACACACCCCCCTTTAGCCAAAAGTTGTCCAGCACCTTACAGAGCCAATCAAGTATCCCAGCCGTTAAATCGGTGGTAGTAGTGGATGGAGGAAAGCATGGATGCATAACAATCTTGCAATTTTCCAAGGGAAATTGTCTTATAATAACTGTCTAGTCTGACAATTATAGACAATATTAATCGTGATCATTCCACAAAATAAGCTGGAAGTCTACTTTAAATTTACCTAGGAGTTGTGGGATTGAATTTTTCTTCCTTTTCTAGTTCCTTTGTTTGCACTAAAGGATTTTCAATTGTCACTGAAATGAAATATAACATAGAAAAATAATATTAAATTATTTTAAAACGAAGAGTACAGATATGTACAGAGAAATGTATCTAGGCAATTGTTTATTTGTTTTAGGTTAGATTGCAAACATTTACAGTTATTACAAATATTTTAAAAGTGCTTTAAGAGTGAAATTCTCGCCTGTGCAGAGGGGTCACACAAGGACAATATACCATGTCTCACTTAAGCCCTCAAAATAGAGCTTCTGTGGAACTAAAGTGGTGCACAGTCCTTGTGCAGGCTTTTTTTCACCCTATAGGCCTGATCCAAAAACCACTGAAGACAATGGGACTCTTTCTACTGATTTTAAGAGACGTTGGCACAGGACAAATAAATCAGGAGCTTTGGGGATTTTTTTAGTGGATTGAGTTGGGGATTTTTTGGTGGGGGAAGGGATTGTATCTAATCATTTAAAAAAATTACAACTGAAATAAAAATGTGAGTAAAAATGCTAAATTATCTTAACACCCAATTCACTTTTAATGATTAATAATAATTGAACACAATGTTAAAATGTGGATCCATTAACTATGGATGGGTTCTGAGTGGCAATATTCAGTGTTTATATCTGGGGGAGGGGTGCTGTTGACAACTGTTGTAGCTTTGACTTTAAATTCTAAAAGGTTTACTCCCTCTTCCTCTATATTTATGTAACTGAACAATTTGTTTCCAATTAAATTGTTCTCATAATCATCAGATGAAAATATAGTAAAACCGCAAACGCATAACGCTGATTTACAGGAAAAAATATTCAAACAGAAATATGTTAACAGTAAACGCCAACTCACCACAGTCACCTACTCTAAAACTTTCTGAAAGCGATCTAACATACTCCTCTCTGCCCCAAGAATTTACATTTATAAAGTAAGCTGGTGAATCTCGAATGGTAAAACTGAAGGTGTATCTCTCAGATCCAATGTCTAAAAAGAGAAACAATGCTTTTAATATCAGATATGCATCAAAGCATGTTAATTTAATCTGATATTAGTATTATTATACTTGCCCAGATTTTACCATAACTTTAAATAAAAGTGTTAAATAAGTTAGTGTACAGAACTTTGGTAAATTCCACTAGAGGTCAGCAGATCTTTTAATTATGAAATTTGGTGTTCACGAATGGGAGCTGTCTGGCAACAATAAATACTATGGTTCAAACAGATGCTGTGCAAG